CAAGAACTTCGAGCCGCAACTTTTGCTATAGACATCAATAGCAAATAGTTGCTCATCTTACGGGGGAGATGTTACATATTCATTGCACTCCCTTTGCCCCGCATACCCAATACAAGTCACCTCTTACGAAACTACGCTATATATAAGGAAAGGGACAAGAGAACCAGCAGCTTTTTGATCGGATACCTCATATCGGACCGGTCAAGTCTCAAGTAGTTAAGTTTATTATATAATATATTTATCGTGCACCTAATATCGGGCCGATTAAATAATTGTATTTAGTTAAGTTTATTATTTGTAAAAGTAATTAATTAAAGTAATATTAATATATTTTGGTTTTTTTTGGAATCCACCGCTGGCCCTCACTTAATTAAGTTAATAATATTATTTTAGCAGCAGTGTTGGCCTAATAATAATATTATTTTGGCTTCAGCGTGCGATTCTCATCCCTCGTAGGTTCGATCCCCGGCTGTGCACCAATGGACTTTCCTTGTATGTCTTTAACATTCGCTTGAACGGTGAAGGAACATCGTGAGGAAACCGGCTTGTCTCAGACCCAAAAAGTCGACGGCGTGTGTCAGGCACCTCACCTACTTGCCTATTAGATTGACAAATGATGATGAAACAGATACAGAAAATAGGCCCAGATCTAAAAAGGTTGTAGCGACAGTGATTTATTTTATTTATTAGCATTATTTTAGAATCCCATACAAAGAAAGCTTATCCAAACGTTCTCACGTGTTTTTCTATCAGGTAATATACTGCAACAACAAGAATTTTGTTTTTTACATACTATTATTATAACAATCAAATACATTGTAGTTTTAAATCCGAATATAAATCTTTAAAGTCGTTTCTTAGTGAAATATTTTTCAAGAAATTGCCGATTCATTTAGTTCTCAACTTTGAAATAAACAGTAATATTCCTTTGTGGGCTCTCGAGTCACTTTGTATTGAAATTGCAAGAACTTCTTAGTAATTGGGATAAACTCAACAGAAACTTATGAGCCCCAGCTTTCCCAGTAATATTACGAGCATTATTTCTGGATCGTTTTATTAAATGAATTTCTTAGTAGATTTATGAAAGTAAAGAGTAAAGAGATGTGAAGAGTAGTCTTCGCTTATTGTTTAAGAGTGCGACTTTCTTCCCTGATATCGATCCCCGCCTGTACATGATCTAACGGTTGATGTAAGCATTCAACACTTTTGCTAGGAGGGAGGCATCCCCCATTTGTCACGAGTGTGGTTTCGCAGACGACACAGCGCAACACACTTTAGAGGTTTGTCCGGCGTGGAGCTCTAAACGTAGTTTATTAACCGCCACCTTCAGATTGGATCTGTCGCTTCCAGTCATAGTGAAAGCTATGATGGAGGCTGACAGTGGCGGCCCGTGGAACACTTTCAAAGCGTTCTGTGAGGCCGTCACACTAAAAGAGAATGCGGAGAGGGTTCGGGAGTGTAACCAAGACGCCGACCCTCAACGCAAAAAAAGGCCTGGAAGAAGACGTCGCGATTACGCACGTACTCCACTGTGCCCTTAGCACAGAATTGGGCAACGCAGAAGTTGTGCTCACACAGCAGACGCTCATGACGGAGGCACGGATTAAGGGAAACTGTTACCGCGCCTACCGTCCTTAGCGAACAGATGGGGCTGTTGGGTGTTAGTGGGTAGGTGTCCATTGCACCATACGGACTGACTCCCACACTCCCTGCGTCACTTTAAATCGTTGCCCCGGCGCGGGGGTCAGTAAATTGATTTCCCAACAATAAAAATAAAAAAAAGGCATTCAACACTTCTACGGCAAAAGAAGACATCGTGAGAAAACCGGCATGCTTTAGATCCAAAAAAGTCGACGGCGTGTGTGAGGCACAAAAGGGTGACCACTTAAGAAAAAAAGTGCGGGCGTACAAAGTACACATGTCAGAAGTGAAACTTCTTTGGCAAACTAATATTTAACTCTAGTTCATATTTATACAAATCTAAAACTTTAGATTTCCGAGACTTAGAGAGAGGGTAGAAGGAGGATATGTTAGGAATTTAATGAATTTAATTGTCATTAAATATTAAAAGTGTCGAAAATTAATACAAATAATAAATTTAATATTTTAAAATATATACCCGGCAGTTTAATTTACAATTCGTCATTTGAGATTTCAATAAATAATTTTGCATAAAATATAAAATACTAATATTTCATAAATTCTCGTTACGAAATGTTAATTTCAAAAATAGAATTTCTATAAGGTAATTCGCCCTTCTCACTCTCTCTCAATCGGTCTCAATCGCTCTCTCCCTTTTCTCCGACAATAACGCTGCACATCTTCGTGACGTTCCGTAAAAAAATTACCCTCATACGCCTCACTTCAATAAATGATCACGAAACCGGTACACAAATCTGTGGTCCAGTCAGTTTGTAGTGCCATTGGTTGTTTATACTAACAGTTGTAGGTACACAGTGTCGTGGATTAAATATCTCTAATGGTATATTAAGAGCCTTTTTCACGATCTTCAAGTAGTCAAGTACACTGATACTCAGTTAAGGCAGCCATCTTAATGTAAAGGGAATCGCGAACCTTCTGGTGTCTATGGTCCGTATGGTATAACATCGGATGAGCTACCTCTCAGTGTGTGTCCTCATTAGCAAATTCCAAATGTTTCAATATTATAAATATATGAATATTATTGTAATGGTCTTATTATGTATTATATATTTATTATTTATCAACGCAATGGAATGCTAACATGAACCGCAGGCCAAAGCAAAATCTTATTGATAATTGATCCGAACTCAATTAAAACTAGTTTCAGCATATAGACTCTTAAAAATTATTCTGGAATAAAGTAGCTACTTGAGTACCAATCTGATTTCAAATAGTCTCAGGTAATCTTTGACGTCTTTGAATACGGACTAAGTACTCTTAAAATTTTCAACGTGAGCGAGTATGCAGAAATGCAGGAAAAATACCAAGTAGGTAGTTAGTCTGTGTCACAACCATCTCATAAACACATTCTTACATACGCAATATTGTGTTAAAATTATATTATTATGTAAACTATTAAGTATTGAAATAAATAAAACCTTATTGATGCATAAAAACTTATTCTTTTTTTAAAAACAAAAATGTTCAAATATGCCAATCAAGCTAAAATCCCTTTAAAAACAAGGACAAAATTGAAAACAATGCATTCCCGCCAATTTAGCAAATGAAGCAGATAAAAAATATTCTGAATGACTCAAGATTTAAGCATCAGATTTGAAGGACAAAGGTGGCTTTGACTTTACGAGTGCCCTAAATATAAAGATAAAGCAGAATTCTTTTGTTCCCTGCGTTTTATAAAATTCGCTATCTTTATATAGGAGGGTGTACAAATTGCGTTTTTTGTTGGGGGTGTTTAATGTTTACTGTAATTTCTATGAATGTTATGTAATCTTAAGATTATACGTAGCAAGGACCATTTTATTGGATCATAAAATTCGATTACACTAATTTACACTATTCGACAACAACTATAAAAAAAACTTATACGAAGTTAAAACCAGCTGCTCACTGAAGTATTACCGACACAATTCGAGGGGGGAGAGATGTTCCTTCAAGAAAAGAGCGTACCAATTATTAAAAGGCCAGCAACACAAACGCGAGCCCTCTGGCACTGAGAGTGTCCATGAGCCTGCCCGTTTGAGTTCTGTCCGATTGCCCCCTGTTCTATAAAAAATAAAACCATAAGCAAACATCATGAGTTTAAATTAAATTAATAAATTTGATTTATTCATGAGGAATAATATTGATATTGAAATGTAAAGCAATTAAAATAGTAAATATGATAGAATGATTTTTATGGACTTTAGTATAAGGAAGTATTGAGTCAAACGACGATTTACTATCGCGGGATAGGGGGCTTTACAACACGTCATCACATACCATTTACATCATATGGCATGTTTAAATATCATACTAACACTGCATTGAATACAACAATAATCTTATCCACGCTTTATTTCAAATAAATTAATTATAAGCTGAAACATTTTTATAATACACTAGCTGACCCGGCAAACGTTTGTTTTACCATGTACATATTATTTCTAGGAGACATATTTTAGTTCAATAACTATATACAGAAATAAAAAATAGGGGTTGATCGTAGAGGGGTGAAAATTAAGGGTTGTATGTATTTTTGTATGCTGTACCATAAAAAAATAAAAACAAAAAGAATCTAAAAAATAAAAAAAATGTGGGGTTTTGGGGTTTTGATTATAGATAGTAGCCGATTCTAAAACTTACTTAATATGCATAAAATTTTGTACAAGAATCGGTCGAGTCGTTTCGGAGGAGTATGGTAACGAACACGTGACACGAGAATTTTATATATTAGATTTACTCTCCTACAGTTAACTGCTCTTTATTTTGTTTGACCAATACAAGGTCACACTTCTGCGTCTGTTTTCTTGATGGCAAGTAACATAATGTATATTTAAATAATTTACACTGTAGCAATGTAACAGTATTATTATATAATGGCAATTTTTACCAATTAATTTACTACCAATTTTTTTTAAGAGATTTGTTATATACATTCGTTTATAAAACTTAAGCCGACTACACATAGTCCATATTTACCTAAATATTAAGTCTCCTCCAGAAATGCTTGAATGCCTATATCAATAACTACTGAGCTGATTTCGATGAAACTTGCGACTGTTTCCTAAGTTTTATGCCGTTAGATGACTTTAAGCTTTCGAAAAATTTGTGGACAAACATTGAAATTGTTCAGGTGTCAAGAAGCCTAAAAGATCATAATACTCAAATATTATCAATGTTACATAATTGTTTATAACGGTTATCATAAGGAAAACTCATTCAAAGAAACTTTACGATTTTGTCGTTGGTCGGCATCGTCATAATTATTATTCTTAACGGGTGACTCCCCTTTTACGACGCGCGTAGTATATAAGACTGTTTATTCAAAAGTATGACATTGCTAGCGTAATTAATCGATAATGAAGTTGTGTTTGATTGCTTTGTGTTTGGCTGTAGCTACGTGCATTGATGCTCAGGGGTTTCCTACAGGTACTGTGTAAATGTCTTAATAATAGCCGAGTTGGAAGAATGTTTAAAATAATAATTTATTGCAAGAATTTGGTACAAGAATGTGTAACGCATATTCTGCCACACATAATGGCGTGGAAATTTGTCTTTAAAGGAATTTATATAATATTAGAATTTATATTATTTGTTTCGTACATATCATATCATACGTTATTAAATTTATATCAACTACAGTGTCTCATGCAAATAATCATTTATTGAATAATAATTTTTTTCCAAAAGTAATACACCAAGTTGCTTTTAAAAGACTAGTCAGAAGATCTTTTAATTATTTTGGTGAATTAAGAAGCCTTGGCTTCAATCGTATTTTTTTCCCAAAAAGCAATTCTATATTAACACACGAAATTCCTTTTATCCATTTTGTTAAACAAGCAAAAGTTACTTCACTCAAAATACTATATCTCACAAAGAGTTACCAAATTTATACAGGTGTCTTTTCAAGGTAAGGCCTAACTAAACATTATTATTTAACAGTAGTAGCGCCACCTATGTGTCAGCCTAATTTATTGTTGTTTAAATAACATATTTAGGTTTAAAGAACTTTATTTCTCATAAGAACTTAATACTAGTTCGCTTAAAATGAGATATAGGTAAATTAGCTTGGAGAAATTTTTGCGTTTGTAGTAGTGTATGGTCAGCAAAAAAAAAAAAACAACATTTTATTTTTAGTTTTTATTTTTTTAAAGGTAATATACGTTTGTGGCTGGAGCACACCAAATGCGTACACGTCTACGCATACGCACTACGTACTAATACGGACGTGAAAATGTGTATCCACTGCATTGTAATCTATGGAACTGTATGAGGCAGATAAGCCAGTTCCAAATATTACAAGCAGTGAATGCCGGTTTTCACTTCAGTGAAGACGTGTATGAATTAGGTGTTCTCCGGCCATAAATGTTTTATTCTAATAATTCATCAACCCCAGGCATATCACAATCATCCCCATCCTCGCTTTCATCAGATGAATTATTTAAATTAATTATGATTCGTTCTGATATTGTGTCTAAAGCTGCGTCTCTACCCTGATATTTGTTTTCCTCCTCAATAGCATGCAGACAAACTTTTCTCCATTCCTCTACAGTTATGGCGTTCATTTTTTCTTCAGCTAATGACATTATAACCTTCATATTCATTGCGACATTCTTTTTGCGACATATGTTTTCACTATCCCCCATATATTTTCTATAGGATTAAACTCCGGATGGTATGGTGGTAAACGCAGCACAGTATGACCGTGCTGTCGTAATATTTCGTCTATCTTGTACTCTACAAATCTCGCCTTGTTTTGCAGAATCAGTTCATATAATTGAGGCTTAAGCAACGTGGATGAATGCTCAATGTTTCGCAATGTCAGCCAGTCAATCATTTGCTGTTTTCTAGAATTACTATTCGGTGCAGGATTTTGTATTGAGTTATGATATGGTGCGTTGTCAACAACAACAACACTATTTGGTTGTAAGTTGGGTATTAATTGAGTTTGAATCCACCTTGAATAGTTGTCATAGTTCATATTGTCGTGGTAATCTCCACTTTTTTGGTTGGCTTTAAACATAAGCAATGCATTTGGTATAAAGCCATCCATACCACCGGCATGAACAATGATTAAGCGGTTGCCTTTCGATATATGTTGCTTCAAACCTGAAGTGCTTCCATCTGACCAAGATTTCGAGAGGGTATGTGATGTATGTATATATGTTTCGTCGGTGTAAACAATTGGTCGGCGTTGTTCACGATATTCAGCAATTTTCATCAAATAATTAATTCGCAAGTATCTAATTTCGTGTTTTTCCATAAGAAGTTTCCGGTTATCTTCTGTTTGCTTCCAATTAAAACCTAATGACATGACGTGTTTTCGTAACGTGCTGACACAACCTTTATAATCGATATCTTCTTTTAATTTTGCGTGCAAAGTTTTCAAAGTGGGAATTTCTTTATTTGTGATGTGGAAGTCATGAATTGTTCTTCTGATAACTTGCTGATCAAAGTTATCGATTACTATTGTAGGTTTACGATTCGGTTTCTTTTTAGGAGATTTAAATGTTACTTCCTGATCTGAAGGTCGACATTTGCTTTCTGATACTACCTTTCTGACGGATGCTATTGAAATTCCCGTTGATTTAGCAACTAATTGAGTGGGAGTCATAATACTGCTCGGGTTGTTATTACACTCATTTTCGAAATATTTGTACAAACAGTACAAAACTTCTTTAGTTTGAGAAGTCAAAGGCTTGCCTCGACCATGTTTTAACACTGGAGCCATTTTTAATTAACAATATAAAGTTGCAACACTTACACACAAATTAAACACTTCAACAAATATTATAACAATAATAACAAACAATAACAACAATCAACAAATACAAAATTTAACAATTAACGTAATAATTATAATTTTTGAATGAAATGTGTGCTTTATGTTCTAACAGTACCAAGCGACTGACGCCGGACTGCACGTGGCACCTGCGGACAGCGTAAACTGGTTTATTCTGGTTTTGTGCGTGTTTCCACTTTCCACTATCAAGTGACGATTTTTTGCTTTAGATTGAAATATCTCGGAAACGGTGCGTCCTAGGCCAAAAATAAATTTTGACCCCCCGTAGACCCCCGGAGTTTTAAAAACCTAGATGAAAGGAAAAAAAATATATATCGGTCTCTCCTCTTTGAAGTTTCACTTCTATCGTGTGTGAATCGCGCACACACCTTTTTTTATAAAGTCAAAACCTTTTTTTAAATAAAAACTTGTTTTTATTGATAACAAAAATCAGAGTGTTGCTAGGGATAAGTATAATATTAAATAGTAATGTTAGGATATCGAAACATTTTTGTATAGGCCAGAACGATATAGTGGAAACGCGCTCTAAGATCTGAGTAATATACACACCACTACATATGCAAAAATTTCTCGAGACTAATTTCACTGTATAGTACTTAATTCTAAATTATATAATATTAGTAGCCTCTAGAACGTTGGAAACATTACACTGATTACAAATAATCTTTTAGATTTCTTTTGAAGACATTCATATTATCGCACTGTTTTAATTCCTCTGGTAAATTGTTGAACAACTGTGCTCCTTCAAATAATATCGTTGTTTTTCCGTAATTAGTCCGCGGTGTTATAAGTTGAAGTTTATTTTTTTTCTTCAAGTGGTGTGTAATTGTTTTTTTATGTAATTTTATATTCGACATACATAAGTATTGGTTTGTCCTCATTTTTGGTGAGATGTTGAGAGCATATATAAAATTAAAATAAAACTTTATAAAGACTTTTGTGGGACGACACAGAAACCATTTGTCCTAATCGCTCGTACGTGACTTTGAAATTAATGCGAAAATATACGAAAAATATATATAGTATTAGGAAACACAAAAGATTAGAACGTGTAGGTACTCCAGACTTTTAAAATCTACTGAGGTTAGGTTAGTAACAAGTCCGTTCCGCACGAAGTCTCGAAATAAAAGTGAGTCAACGCCGGTGTTGCCACGCTTTATATAGGTTTCTGCTACAAAATGGCGTTAGTCCGCTAACACGGCCTCTCCTGACACCCTGACGTCCTCGTCAGGATTTGATGTCCAGCGTCTATACTGTCATCTCTGTGGGTTGAATAGAACGTTAGAACATTACAATTCTGGGAAGGTATTGCGTCGTCTATTTGGTCAGCAACTGAACATATTTACTTGGTTTAATACAAACAATCAAAGTAATGAAAGATAGAAAGGAACTTTAAAGTATCAGACTCCAAGGAATGAGTGAAAGATTATTCATAACCCTTACAAGATTTGAAACAAACTATCACTTTCATGTGTAAAGGACTTGTGTAAACAATCACAAGTTTAGTATCACCATAAGAGTAGATATAAGGTATAAAGGTCTACTTATTTCTCAAGAAGATCGTGAGTTTGGGGCTGGTTACCCTGTCCATTGATCTTTTTACCATTCATAAAGGAAGATCTTGAGTTTGAGGCTGGTTACCCTGTCCATTGATCTTTTTACCATTCATACAGGAAGATCATGAGTTTGGGGCTAGTTACCCTGTCCATTGATCTTTTTACCATTAATACAAAAAGATCGTGAGTTTGGGGCTGGTTACCCTGTCCATTGATCTTGTTACCATTTATACAGGAAGATCGTGAGTTTGGGGCTGGTTACCCTGTCCATTGATCTTTTTACCATTTATACAGGAAGATCGTGAGTTTGGGGCTGGTTACCCTGTCCATTGATCTTTCAAAAAGCAAATATTACAGAATTAGATAGCTTCAGACTTAACACAAATAAAGATAAAACTCAGTATATTTGCAATACACCGTCGTATCGACAGTGGCTCCTAGTGCTCTCATAAGCGACAATTTTTTAAAACAGAGACTCATACATTTTGCATGTTCTCTAAGTGGTCTAAACACATTAGCACCAGAAAAACTTAAAACAGAGACCCATACACTTGTATGTTCTCAAAGTGGTCTAAACACATTAGCACCACAAAAATTTAAAACAGAAACCCATACCTTTGCATGTTCTTAATAACAAAGACCAGATCATCCTTCTGGAATTTACAAGGGGGTCTACGACCCACATAAACGACAGTGTCCTGATTGATTTCACTGTTCTTCAACCGTTCGGCCGTCCTCTGTCAAAGCATCTCTCGTCTACCTTGCTGACTAGACGATCTCGAATTTAATGCAACACTGTTGCACTCACAAACACAAACAACATTTTAACACAAAGAGCACTTTTAAAATGTTAATCACTTGTGACTTCGTACATTACGGACACAAAGAGAAGGAAAATTTAAACCACAAAGATTACTCAAAACAAAACAAAAGAGAAGTGAGCGAAAAGTTCAAATCCCACTTCTGATATTAGGAAACACAAAAGATTAGAACGTGTAGGTACTCCAGACTTTTAAAATCTACTGAGGTTAGGTTAGTAACAAGTCCGTTCCGCACGAAGTCTCGAAATAAAAGTGAGTCAACGCCGGTGTTGCCACGCTTTATATAGGTTTCTGCTACAAAATGGCGTTAGTCCGCTAACAATAGTATAAAAATTGTGTGGTCAGTTTGAAGGACTTTGTAACATTTGAATGTATTTAACATTGTAAGGTTTTTTTTTTATAAAAATAAAATTAATCAATGGCGCTACAACCTTTTTAGGTGTGGGCCTCAGATTTCTGTATCTGTTTCATGATTATTGGTTAATCTAATTGGCAAGTAGGTGATCAGTCTCCTGCCCTGCGATTCTGTAACTCACTTTTTGAAAAGGTGGGAGCTTGTAGTTTATTGTTTATCAGAATGCCAAATCATAAAATGACTGCTTCACGACTGATTTGAGAGCGACCGCCGATGCGAAAACCGCTGTGTGAGTTCGAAAAGTGAGTTACCGAATCGCAGGGCTGTGCCTGTCACACGCCGTTGACTTTTTGGGTCTAAGGAAAGCCGGTTTCCTTACGATGTTTTCCTTCTACGTTCGAGCGAATGTTATATGCGCACATAGAAATAAAGTCTATTGGTGCACAGTGATCGAATGTACGGCCTCGGGAATGAGAGTAGCACGCTGAAGCCATTAGGTCAAATCTGCTGATTTTGATGTTTTAAGTTTTGTAAAATATGTTTTGTTGTTGCAGCAAAATGCCCTCCAGGCGAGCATTCCGTCCTGTATTGTCCAGAAAGAGCGGAACCAGACTGTGACAATCCAACAGTCCACGACCTCAAGGGACCAGCTGCGTGTGGCCGACCTCAGTGCTTCTGCAATACCCCGAATGTCAGAAATCTGAAAACTGGGAAATGCATACCTCTTTCGAAATGCTAAACGATTCTTTGTCTTATGACACTGTTTAAACATCTTTTCGTACAATTTAAATTCTTCGCGATTATAACAGATTAAACAATACTTATCTGGAGCTGGATATAATCTATTATATTTAAAGAAAGCTTTGTTAAGTGCCTATCTCATCTATTCCGTTGTTATTTTTTGCTTGGAACAAAAAGCCAAAATTTAAAAAAAACACTTAAATTTACCAAAATTGTCATATATTTTAGAAAAGATAGCTAACATATGCAGTAAATATAGATATGTATGATGTATTCAATATATAAATTAATAAATAACTATAGATTTATGAATAAAGGCGAATTTTAAAGCGGTGTTCAAATGTTTCTTGTATTGTATGAAAAATTTTATACCCACATTTAATTGAAATAAATTTATTTTCAGAAATATACGTTTTTACCTATGAAAACATTTTTACACATGAAATTAGACCTGGTTCGTATAAAATATTCAGCATATATTTTTTAGCATAAAACAGAACATCTGATTAAATTCTAAGAAATATTTTATTGCCATATAATAAAATTTGTAATTTTCCTGTCACCTTAGTAATTCTCGTAAGTACAAAACGAAAGTATAATTAAAACACACGTATATATCATAGATATATAGTTAGATATATTAGTTGGGCAAGCAACTCTGTGGTTGTTTGTTCCAACCTAGACACCAACAGAATTCTTTATTGTAGTGAGTAAGTTTGGTGTTGTTCTTCCTCTTCCTCTTGACCTGAAGGTTCCTGGCCCATTCTAAACACTGACTGGCCAGCCCAAACAGTGCTCGAGTTGTTTATATTGTTAGCGGTATAATAACTTATATTTCACGATATTTCACGTTCAATGTATGAGTTCATAGTAGTGATTAGTAGCCTATAATTGCAGGTTTTGCTACATAGTAAAAACTATTGAGTAATATATATGTAAATAGCAAGTCTCTTTATTTCGTAATCCTACATCCTAAAAATTACTAACTCAAAAAATAATTACTAAAATATATTATTAAAAGGAAACCCTTTAGGCAAGTTTCCGAAGATACTGGCAGCGTTCCCCCTTTGAATAGCTAGACTAATTCTTTTACCGAGGTAGCTGCCAGCTCTTCGGTCTCCTGTGATGTCGACTAACCTTTTTGCTATTTCCTTTAAAATAAATAAGATACAGATAATAATAGATTTTAATTTATTAATTAAGTACCTAGCGAACTAAATGCGAGCGCACATACTAGCGATGTTAGAAGAGCGTAGAAAAAACCAATAATTAATCGGCCCTATTTTAAAACGTGAATAAAAGTTCCTATTGTGTTTTTATTTTCACAAAGATGTGTACCATCAGAACGTTCTATCTAATTAAAACACATGAATTAAAAGCATGCGATGTAAATCTCAAGAGCCTGAACAAATCAAGAAGAACATTCAGCTAATTGTAATCAGAAGGAGGCCATTACTGAAACGCATTAGCACATTATTCAACTGCTCTGGGAATTATTTTACTGGATAAAATAGATAATGTTTGGTGGAAGTTATGGGCTTGTGCAGAGGTAGCGTTCAACAGTCTTGGTTTTTTATTGTAATAATAATTATTTATCTATTGAAAGAATATGGTACAAAAATGTGTCAGGTGGTACAATCGTAAGTTCGAATATTCTGCCACACACAATGGCGCGCAAATTTGTCTTAAGGAATTTTACATTTAACATTGTTAGTCAAAGTCAATTCTTATATTATTTGTATCGTACATATTATCATATCATACTTCATTAAATTTATGTCAACTACATTTAAAGAAAAAACTGTTTAACCGGATTGAACTTATGTATTATTATAAATTTACTACTATTTAACATAATTTTAAATTTATCCGACGTTTCGCGTGCTTTACAGCGTGCGTGGTCACGGTGACAAGCAAACGTTAAACAGATTTTTCTTTAAATGTGTAAAGGTTATGTAAATCAAAGACAATACTATATGTCAACTACAGTTTTGTCTCCTTGGCTTTCCCATCTGCTGTCATGTTTGTAAATAATAATTATTTCTGTATGTATTTATTTGTCTTCTATTTCTATTTAAGTGGTTTATCTATTAGTTTTCTGATAAATAAATTTCTTCCATAACAAGTGTCGTAATGTCTATGACATTACTAATTCCTTTTAAACTTATTCGCTATTAAGTTGGTGGTTCTTTGCCTATCAAAGTAAAACATTTGTTGTTTTACAATCAAAACCAAACCCATCAGGTTCGCTTTGTAATTATTATGATAATAACAGTCATATATTTATTTCTAATGTGACTTAGTCTCCTGTAACTTACGGCATTTTTGTCCTACGGGAAATTACAGTTTCGGCCAATTAGAAGCGGCCGGATTCGAATAAATTTCGACAAAACATTTGTATATAATGTAAATTATTTCATTAATTGAAGATATTCCAGAGCAGGTCTAAAGATATATATATAATATATAAACGAAGAATGATTTGAAAAACGAGATGACTATTGCACTCTTATTGAGCAATTTAACAAGAATATAATCATTGTAAAAAGAATACTATGACAATAAATGTTTCTATACACATAAAGCTTTCATACAAATATGTACATTCATGCGTATTTGTTCAGAAATTTCTCAACGATCTTTGTTCCTCGCTTGCATATAAAATGAGATTGTTAAGAGCGGGTTACCAAAATCACTCATCGTAGATTTGATTTTATCATGGTATGTGATGCTTGAATATAAAAAAAATAGTATATAATATATATCCTTCACTATAATCTCAATGGTTGAGTCCAATTAAAAACACAATACATTATAATTCCTCGAGACAAAAAAACACAAAGTCACCTTTTTATTCAATCATGGCGAGTATTATGGAGCCAAAAATAACTGAATTACAGCACATTAGTCTGGCCGAGAGCTGTTACTAGAGATTTTGTTAAATATTGTATATTATACGAGTTATTTAAATAAAAAGAATTTGGCGTTTACTTCATTTTTGTTCCGCGAAACACTGTATTGTCTCTGCGAATTCAGGCATACGTTTATTTTACTAGGGACTAGAGCAACTAAGGGCGACGCGCGGGTGAAATTATGAATTTTGTTAGCCTATTAATAGCGTTCATAGAAACAATACCATTACTAAACCGTCGGCATTTCATAAGAGATAAAACTAAATCTAGTCTAATTCCCATTGATAAGTTAGCAAGAGCACTAATAACAAGGCCAGTACTGGGAAACACAAAATTAGGAGTTAGACAAAGCTTTGTTGAGATAATTGCATAGGATCTGATTGCGGCATACGAAACCACTTTTGGTTAGAAATGTACTTTAATTTTTAAATTCCCACGATTTGATCTATATGTAGTTTTTATTAAATATATTTAAGCATTTTAGGTAATACACTCTATAATAGGTAATCTAGTCTTAATATCACCATTAACATTGTAGTTTTATCTGTTTCTAGTAAGAGATATTTAATTCGAAATCGAATATATTATCTAATATATAAAATTCTCGTGTCGCGGTGTTTGTGGTTAAACTCCTCCGAAACGGCTCGACCGATTTTCATGAAATTTTGTGTGCATATTGTGTATGTCTGAGAATCGGACAACATCTATTTTTTATCCCCCTAAATGTTAAGGGCAGTCCACCCCTAATTTTCTTTTTGATTTTTATATTTTTTTATGATACAGCATTAAAAATACATACAACCCCTAATTTTCACCCCTCTACGATCAACCCCTATTTTTTATTATAGTACATAGTTTATTTTTATTGAACTAAAAAAATGTTTCCTAGAAATAATATACATGACAAAACGACGTTTGCCGGGTCAGCTAGTATTTAATAAAAAACAATTACACTAAAGATGCTATATCTATATCAAATTTGGAATACATAATATAAAAAAAAGGGACAATAAAAATTATTAAATACATTTAACTAAGTGATACCTAATTTGGCTGTGTTGTGTGATGTTGTAAAAGTGAGGGTATGCATGGGAGAGTGTGTATGTGTGCTCATGATGCAAGTGATTTTGCGCTATGGATATTCTACTTTTAAGCATATTCCGCGATAGTATAAACAATTCAAGGCTTAAATATTTTGGTCGTTGCATGTCCGGGCTGCGCGATACAAAACTGAGTTTTTTGTAGGTTTTTTTATATAAACCATTTTTATAATCTCTCTAATTATAAATTGAAATTGTATACCTAATTTATGTAAAAAATATTTTACCAATCTCCATTAGCAATGAAGTAGAGTCGTTGAGCGTAATTTATCAGCTGTTAGAGCAAAATCTTTCTAAATTACCATATCAAGGGGAATTTGAGGTATACATTTTTTGCCCCAAATTGACGTCTTTAGATGTAATTAAGTTGATGAGAAAGATCTTTATACTAAGGAAAAAATTTGGAGAGGGAATTTTATTTCTCAGTATTTTCACTTGAGCTTAAAACACTGTCAAACGATAGTACTATGTTTGATAATAAATAAAACGCTAATGTGAAAATTGCATGAAAAATATTTACAATTTAATAATAATAAAAATATTATTAATAATAGATATAACTGAGTAGAGATAAAAATACAAAAAAAATAGTGTATTTATTTTCTTACAAAAAAATATTATAATTGGATTAAGTTTACTTTGTTCTTTTGTAAGAAATAAAAAGGTTGTTTTTATTTTATTTATTATGATTAAAAAAATATTTACAATATTATGGTAATAAATATAGCTTAATATATGACTTTAGTAAATTGTTGCAACCTAATAGTGAAAAAAAATTTCGCAATCAATCCTTATCGATACAAAAACACAAATCCTTCTTCTTTACGGATTTAAACGTTACAGAACACTACAAATTATACAACGAACGTCTTTCTTGGGCATGTCCAGCGTAGTCTTATGATATTCTTCTGTCACAAGGGTAGACTTCTCTTACATCCTGGACAGCTATGTTTCAGCGTCGGCTTATAATGCCAAATATAGAATAC